TTATTTCCAGAAGATAACTTCAGCATTTTAATGAGATCTTTCAATTAAGGCAAGTAAAATGCTGAGATTTTAAGAATACAGGATTTTTTAAAACATTATAAAGCAATAACAAAGTTGTATGTCTTTTCTATCTCAACTATCAGTGTAAGGTCATTTCGGGTTTCACTTAGTTTCACACTTGGACTTAATAGTAACCCAAAACTATTATATAGAAAATAATAACTATGATTTGAGTAGAGTTTTCCAGTCAAACTTTTAGTTTATTTGCAGGATTTTTTTTGCCATCAAGAGCATTAGAAACAAAAGGAGGCGAAAGAACATCTATGTTATGTTGCTGCTTTTTCCTATTCTGTTTTCTTCTTTTTAAAAAAAAATCATACTAATCATAAACCTTCAAAATAGGTACGTCCATAGATGATCAGTAGAAGGTCAGATTAAAACAAACTTTCTGGAAACATGCCTAAGTTTAAAAAAACAAAATCTGTAAAAACGAATGCACCCTTTTACTTCTAGAACTGTATCTTAGCAAGACAAAATCCCAGCACAGATGGTGGACGGGCTCATGAAGTTCCACCATTAACTAAGGAGCTATCATCAACTGATGGCTGCTGGGGTCAGGAGAGTCAGTTTCTTCAGGGACACAGTCCCTGAGACGTTTCCCATGATCCAGTAGCTGGTCCTCCACTCATTCACACCAAGTAGACTCTGGATTTTAAAAAAGAGCCCATGAATCTGGAAAAGAACAGTGCTGAGGAAACAGGAGAGAAACTGGAAAAGAGGATATGGGGGTGGATGTGATCAAAACACATTACATGCACTATGAAATTCTGAAACAAAAAAAGAAAAATGTCAAAGACATACTATGTAAAAACATAAATAAAAATCAATTAACCTAAAAGATGTAGTACTAGGGAAAAATTAAATGAACTTTTTATATCCAATATAAGGGGTTAATATGGAGCCCCTTAAAATAATATTTTTAAAGCAGCATTTTTAGTGATTAAAAGTCAAGATTTTTAAAACTTTGTAAAATCTTTAAAACTTGGTAAGATTTTGAAAGCTTAAATGAAAATTTAACATGGTTTGTAATCACTCCTGTAATTCTAGCACTTGGAGACTAAGGTAGGTGGATCAAGAGTTCCCATACCAAGTTCAAGGTCAGCCAGGACTACATAGCAAGAGCCTGTCTCATATTAAAAAGAAAACTTTTTTGAATAGTAAAATACAATAACATCAGATAAATAAGTACATGGTAATACACAAATAAAAAGAATGAAAAAAAAAAACTACCTAAACTAAATCTTCTATGTCTCACCCAATGCTGCAATGTATTAGATTTTTTTATTTTTACTTTTAGTTGTCCTAATCCTCTACAGTTGAGTATCTTTTTTAAAAAATATTTTATTATTTTTATTTTACATGTATGAGTGTATTGCCTCCATGTAAGTAAGTGTACCCATGTCATGCAATGCAGCAGAGGTCACAAGAGGGTTTTGGATTACCCTGGAACTGGAGTTAAGGACGGTTTGTAGCTGCCATGTGGGTGCTGGGAATCAAACCTGGGTCCTCTGCAAGAGCAGTCAGTGTTCTTAACCACTGAGCCATCTCTCCAGTCCTTACAGTTGCGTATCTTTAAAAAATCTTGGAAATTAATTCCAAAAAAAAATCTTCATATTTCTGCTAAAAAGAATTAAAACCATAGGCTTATCTAAATGACAAGAACATCCATATTTCCAGTGAATCATTTCCTTTTTCTTTTATACGTTTCTTACCACACACATGATGTATGACAGGATAGCACCAGAAGAGCCGATGAGAGCACCCACAATGGTCAGCAGGTTGTTGTTGAGCAGGAAGCCCTCTGCACACAGAGCCCAGCCTGAGTAGCTGTTCAACACAGTGATGACAACTGGCATGTCAGCACCCCCAATAGCAGCTGTCAAAGTCACACCCTAGCACAAAAAACAAACAGAACCCAAATTAATAATATAAAGATCAAACCTCAGGCATTCAACATCTCAGTTCTTAATCAATCCAGTTCTCTAGTTAATAAAGTTCATATAAGCTCTCTTTCTGGTGATGAACATGTCTCACATCTGACCAACTCTCTCACATGCAACAACTATAAACACCAAAAAGAAAAAAGAAAAAAACCTTAAATCAAAATATTGATGAAAATCAGGAAGAAACTGAAGTCTCTGCTTAGAAAAATTAAATGATACCAAATGAATGTCCCCACTCTTAATGGCTTTGGATTGAAATCAGGCCCCTGCTTGGTACCAAGTAGAGCAATTAAAACTAAGGTTATTGGTGGGCGTGGTGGTGCATGCCTTTAATCCCAGCGCTCGGGAGGCAGAGGCAGGCAGATCTCTGTGAGTTCAAGGCCAGCCTGGTCTACATAGTGAGTTCCAGGACAACTGGGGCTACAGGGAGACCCTGTCTCAAAAAGACCAAAAAAAAAAAAAAAACTAATGTTATCAACTCACAGCCTTAATGGTTTGACGATCCAGAGGACAGCTAGAAAATAAAAAAGAAAATCCTTCAAACTGGCAGACTGGAACCTCAAATTCTGTGTATAAACAATACCCAAATCTTTGGCTGACACTTAAACTATGGGACAGACTCCAAGCAATTCTCTTAAGGAAAAAATAACAATAGATTTCAGTGCTGTACCATAAAGGAGCCAGAATTTGAAACTTAAGTCTAACCAAGTTAGCTGCCCGCAAATAAATAAATAAACAAACAAACAAACAAACAAACAAATAGCTGTCAGTACTCCAGATGAATATAACAGAATCCAAAATGTCTTAAAACACCATTAACAATGTCCATGATGCAATCCAAAGTTATTAAACACAGGAACATAAAAAGAATGCTGGGAAAGATCTTTGCTTTTCATCAACATATGCCTCCATTTTTCTGCTTTGTTGCTATGTGAGTATATGTCACTTCCATAAGCCAAAAGCAATTAAAATAAGCCCAAAATACACTTTATGTTATAGAGATATTTCCATGCTAAGTATATCTAAAATTTTCACCATTTAAGCCTTATCAGAATGAATGAAGTGGAAAACAATATCTAGGCTGGTGATAAAGTTGAAAAACTGGACCACTCAAGCAAAGAATATGAAAAAGTTTTTGAACTGCAGTAATAGAATATGCAGGAAATGTGGAACACCATGAAAAGACAAAATTTATGTATCACAAGCATAGAGGAAGGAGAAGAATCCCAGGTAAACGACACTGACCAGATCTTCAACAGGATTACAGAAGAAAAAAATAACAATCTGTTGTTGTTATTTTGTTGTGCTGTGGAGTTTTTTTTGTTTTTGTTTTTGTTTTTGTTTTTGCTGTTTTCTTTTGTTTTATTTTGTTTTGACAGGGTCTCCCTAGCCCCAGCTGGTCTGGAACTCACTATGTAGAGCAGGCTGGCCTCAGTCTTACAGAGATCCACCTCCCTCTGCCTCTGGAGTACTGGGATTAAAAGCACACACTACCACACCCAGTGTAAAAAAGTAACAATTCTTCAAATTTTGCAGTTTTATATTACAGATTTGACTTGGGGACTTTTTAAAAACCTTGTATGCTTGATTAAAGTACTAAAACTGTTTATTTAAAAAACAAAAATCATCACTACATAAGAAAGACGGGGGGCTGGAGAAATGGCTCAGTGGTTAAGAGCACTACTGTTCTTGCAGAGGACCCAGGTTCGAGTCCCTGTACCCATATGGCAGCTAACAACCATCTGTAACTTCAGTTCCAGGGGACCTGACGCCTCCTTCTGACCTTTGCGGACATTGCATGACATGGGTGCACTTACACACATGCATGCAATACACTCATACACATAAAATAAAAATAATAAATAAAATATTTTTATCCAACAGTCTCTTCTGTCCTCTGCAGGCACTGCACGATATGGGTGCACTTACCTACATGCAGGCAATACATGCATACACATAAAATAAAAATAATAAAATTTTTTTAAAAGAAAGAAAACTAGAACATGAGTAGTATAAAGCATATAAAGATAGAATTTGAAGTACTTTCAGTATTCTAAAGTTTCTGTATTGAAACCATGACCTAACTCTTAGGAGCACACAAAAATAAGTCTCATTTGTATACTATAAATCTTGTGTTTCTGAATCAAAGAGTCAGTCTTGATAAGCAATTATTAAATATCTAATTTTGTAGGTCTGGAGACATGGCTCAACATTTAGAAGTACTGAATGCTTTTGCAGAGGACCCAGGTTCTAATCCCAGCACCCACATGGCAGCTAACAACCATCTGTAACTCCAGTTCCAGGAGATCTGATGGCCTCTTCTGACTTCTGCAGGCATTGCATGACATGAGTGCACTTACATATATGCAGACAATGCACTCAAATACACATAAAATAAAAAAAATTTTTTTTTAAAATATCTAATTTTGTACTAGGCATTATCAATAATTTTTCTCAACATAAAATATAAAAACTGTCTACAAAGTATACGCCAGTCTAGAGGAACACAAAGCAACAGTGAATAGCAGGATTGCATGTAACAGCATCCTGCACTAATGTAATAAAATACTAAACCATTGCATGCAGACAAAAGTTCTGCTTATATCAATATATTATGTGCAAAATTATAGGAAAAAAAACCTATAATGAAAGACTGAACTCCCTCAATGAATCTAGAGTTTACTGTCACTCCTTTTATATAATTATTTGATTTTTGTATCACATCTTCCAATGAATATGAAAGCACCTTGTAAACCAGCTTACATATACTATATAAGCCCCAAAGAACTACTTTGTACAACTTGTAATATTGTAGTCACCTAATAGAGTGGAAGCCCTTAATTTTTTAAGTTCCTGTTTACCAGCACACTGATATGGTAGACTCCAGAGCAATAAAGATGCCTAGATCCCAAAAATATCAGCATATAACAATGATTTGAACATTGCTATTCCATCAGGATTCTTAAAGAGACAGAATATGACCAGATTGCAATCTAACAATATATTCCCAGCTCTTCACTAAGAATGTGCTTCCTCATCTCCAGTATTTTACCATGATAGTAGAGAGCGCCGACACAGAGGCCAGACAGGCAATGCCAGTGGTAAAGCTGGGGTCAATCATATATGGGATCATCCCACCTGCACTAGCAGCCAACAAGCCTGCATTGAGAAAGTGCCTTCCAGGTAGCAGCAGAGGGGCAGACTTCAAGAGACCTAGAACAGAACAACATGGCATTAGGATGCTGGAATATGCTGTGTGAACCCCTCCCCCCACCACACACACACACACACACTCAAACATTATGTTATTTCATCCTGTTACCAAAATTTAATATAAGAATAACGGTATTTAAAATAGCGCTTCATAGCACCAGATAAGAAATATAAAGTCATGTTAGAATTCTACATGTAACGAACAGCAGTGTAGACAGGAAAATATAGTTCAACTTAACTGTTCTTTCCCTTCTTTTTGACCACATAATGTCTTTACTCTGTCATGGAATCTTAAAAGTGATTTTTTTTTCCCTGTATGACCAACAGAAATTGTTAAGTGTGGCTTTATTTACAAATTCGATATGGAGTTCTGAGACATTACCTTCTGAGTCCATCAACTGAGCCCAAGGGAGAAGAACCCTTATTAATTGTTTCTAAAGAAAAAGCCTAAGATAAGAATGTTTTAGACTTAAGGTTCATTTGTGATTTTTTAGGTTTTATGGAAGCTCCCCACTTAATGACTTTATTACTCAGAGTCAAGATCAGCTTTGTACATCACAAACTAGCTTCTCTGGGGACTCGCTTGGGAACACACTGAAAAGAGGCACTCTGGATTTTTTTCCTTCACTTCCATTTCCATGATTCACCACAGCAGTAGTCAAAACTTCATGGTACTGTGCTAAAATACATGCTTGTTTTCAGAATTACTATTAACCAAACTTAATAAGCTTCCCTCTATTCTAGGGAACACAGCGTTCATTTCTGTGAACTCTATATAGACATCTCTAAGCAAAGTGTCTACACAAACTTCTGTGTGTTAATCTCTCCTCTAAGCTGTCTGCAGAAGAAACAGCCAAGAAGCTTTGAACTTCCAAGAATTAAAATGAACTATCTTTATGTGGAAACAATATTTTCTATGTGCCTGACTGCTCACAAATACCCTTCTCCTTACAGTTTTTACTGTGAAGGTGTTTTCTAAAACTGAAACAGACCCAGGAATATCCTAAATAATCAATATTTACCCCTATGTAGATCAAATAACTTACCCTGTAATTTTCCATAGGCAATAAGAGATCCACTAAAGGTTATTCCACCAATGTAAGTGCCAAGGTAGGCCACCATCTTGGTGAAATCTGATGCTGTATCCACACCAAAATGTGGATATTCTACAATGAACTCAGCTACGCAAGTAAGTACAGCTGCCAACCCCACTAAACTGTGAAAAGCAGCAACTAACTGAGGTAATTCAGTAATCTGGATGCGTTTCGCAATTGCCAGTCCTGTTAGGGGAAAAAGAAAAAAGTTAAAAAAAAAAATCAAACAACATATCTGTGGAAACAGCAACCATAAAGACATAGGGTTTTGCATCAATGTCACCAGTGAACACTCCCTAATTCCTGGTAAGGGCCAAATGTTCTCTACAAGGACTGTACAGAAGGGAAAATGCTAGCTATATATGCATACTACCAAAACTGCTCATTTTCTCAACATGGCTACGGCCCGATAACAAACAGCTATGCGCAGCATCGATCATGCCTCTTCCTCTCAGACCTCAAACACCATCCTAGCCAAAAGCTTACTAAGGCCACTTAAAGTTCCAGTTAGGTCTCCTTACAGTCTCCCAATTGAGTGAATATTCTAGGCTCTTCCTCTCTGTAGCTAATCCTTGCAACTGTTCACATAACAGATGGAACTTCAAGGAAAAAAAAAAAAATAAGCTTAGGTTTTCAGGTAAGTGGAACCAAGGCCAAAACTGAAGAGATCCCAAATTCTTGGCAGTAGCTTCTCAAACTCTGAAGGACTTTCACAGTTATGGTTGGTAAGTAGGAGTGAGCCTCAGAATACTTCTTAGGATCATGTCCAAGGAATTTTCCACCATGGATCCAGAGAACAACTACTTTCATTTAAATCTTTCTAGGACTTTCCCCTGAGGAAGCATAAATGGAAGCCTTAACACAGACTTTGTGATGACAAATATTAGCATCCAGCTCACAAAAGGGGAGAATACATATATGCATTTGATATATGATATAAAGGTATATGGTACAACTTTCAAATAATAAAATATGTAATATTCTTTATTCCAAATTCCAAGTAGATTATTGATTTTCATAGAATGATTTTTTTTATTTTTGCTAAACTCTTTTACCTATAGCAAACCTCAGATTTGCAACTAATGAATGAATACAATTCCCGTATAAACACTGTTCATTTTTGTTTATACTTTTAAGTATGATGAAAAAAAGCAATATATATTTGTGATATATAGATATTTATTTATAATTATAAGATGTAAGATGTACGTGAGAACCATGTAAAGTAACCTCTTCACTGACTCTCATAACAGTTTTCAAACACAGGAAAAATACTTGTTCATTCTTCTCTATCATTCACAATGTAATACGATAGTCACATTTTAAGCTTAAGCTACTCTAAATTTTTTCCCATCACTTTCTTAGGTCTAGACAAGAAACAACAAATTTGTAGCCTGTAGTTTATATCCATGCTGTCAATACTTCCATCAAGAACAATTTCAACTTGCGAGTCTGATGTCACTGCATGTGGAATTGGGAAGAAATTATAATAGCCTTCTATGAGCCAGCATTTCTACTCCAATCATACAAGAGATAGAAATAACTTCAAGAGCACATTAAAAAGTCTAGTAAATTGGGACTGGAGAGGTGGAAGGTGCTTAAAAGCACTGGCTGCTCTTACAGAGGACCTGGGTTCGATTACCAGCACCCACATGGCAGATAACAATCATCTCATAACTCCAGATCCAGGAGCTACAACACCCTCTTCTGACCTCCATGGGTATTACACGATAAAATTTAAAAAATAATAAAATATTTTTTAAAGTCTAGTAAATTAATTTAAAAGGGTTGTAGTTTTAGTACTATTATCTTTGTTTCTCATAGAATTTAAGCTTATTTTAATTTTTAATAATGGCTGTATTTAAAAACCAGCTCACAAAGTTTCTGAAAATTTAAACAGCTCCAGCAAACTACTAATCTTTAATAGATTAAAACAGTGGTTTTTCTGCCCAAACATGTGTCATTCAAGTTTTTAACAGATCTATGAAGCAGTCTTCTACTGCTATTTATAACCAGCAGACCACAAGATGAGCCTATATATAATACATAGATATGTATCCCAATTCTCCACCCTATTAACAGCTAACTGAACACAGTCAGTAAAGGAAAATAAGAATTGAGGATCATGTGTTTTTTTATACCACTCTTAAATTCAGCTGATATAACTTACAATGCTTTAAAATGTTGGCATTTGAATAAGAATTAGACCAACAATGATTAATATGACATTTGTTGAAGCAATTTCAGTTAAGGCAATTTAATTTCTTCATCAATATAGTCCTCACAGAGAAATATATGTTTAGAAACTGAATTGCCAGAAAATGTCCTACTCCTAACAAAGTAGAGTCATTCATTATATAACAATGTTATGGTTAGCAAA